CGGAGCCGAGCGTGAGGGGCCGGGTGTGGGGGACTGGCGTCCCAAACAGTGACGGGAGTGGGGCCGTGCCCGGGGGCTCCAGAGAACTTGAAAAGGGGCCGGCTCCGTTGGGGGTGTCGCCCCTAAATGTAAATTCCTGGTTTTTCAGAGCGGGAGCGTGTTATTCCTCGAAAGTAAAGGGCCCTAGGAGAGACACCTTCCAACAGTATAACAAAGTAAAAAAAGAACTAATTTTTTGTTTTTTAAAGTGCCCCTTTTGCCTTTCTGAGTTAGTTTGGTTGAGGTTTTTTTCCCGAACTTTTTCATTATATTAATTAATGCATTAGAAGCGCCTTCTTTGGAGTATGTGTTCGTATTGAAGGTGCCCTGGCGTTTTCTAATGCACTATAAAGTAGTTACCTCTCAGTGTAAATATTCTGTCTTTTTGACTTGACTCTGTCAATGCTTTTGGGATGTGACAGCGTTGGTAGAATGCTGCTGTGCAGTCCTCGAAATAGCACCATCCTAAGTGTATCTAAAGCATATGTATGTATAAGTTTCTGGAAATTGTAATGTGTTTTAGAAATTGCTGACAGGACATTATCTTGCTTTTGTTTTTTTTTTCTAAATTAGTTTAACTGCATTCACATTTTTCTACATAAGATTACTGAGCAAGCTCAAGGCATACCTTACAAACAAGCTTTCATTTCTTTGGTGGGCTATTACAACTAAAACTGGTACTTCTTGGGTTCGTTTGTACCTATTGGTTTTCTTTCTTTTTCTCCTCTTGTGTTAAAAAAAAAAACCAAAATGCTTCCATTGCAAAGCTGGTTTCTACTGCTCTGAGTTAAATTTGGCCTCTTTGCTTCCTCTGTTTTCTCTTCCAGATAGGGCTGTTAAACTGCTGGGAAGAAATATTCCCTCGGTTCTGAGGATGACCGAGGGAGTGGAGCCGAAGATAAGCAGAAGGCTGTGTGTTAAACCCCAGCAAGACCTTCAGACAAAGAGTAAGAGTCTTTGATAAAGTCATGCAATGTTTCATGCTATGAATGAATACTCACATATCCATGAATCATCTGAACAGGAATTAGGCTGACACAGGTGGTCATATCCCTGATTTTGTGAGAGTTCTGGTCCCTAGACTGAAAAATGGAGCATTAAATTTGGTGAAGTCTTGTTTTCTAACAAAAAGCCAGGGGTCAATATTTCCACTTGTGAGGGTCACACAGCATTCACTTTGTAGCAGATCACCAGAGCCTTATCTGGTGCACACTCCTACACTGAGGCTCCTCAGCTCTGCTCTGGAACTGCCTGTTCAGCCCCACTGTAAACTGCTCATGTTTAGGAATGCTGTGTGAGCTAAAAGATTTCTGCAGTTTTTTGGAGTGTGACCAGCTCCAGCTGTTCCAAAAACTGAACGTGCCCTGCAGGGAAGAGTCTGAATTGTTCACGTTCAAGGGTGGAGCTGGTCAGGGAAAGCTCAGCCCATGAGAGGTTTTTTCACTGTATTTGGGACACTTTCTGTGCTCCCTGTACCACAGGTTCCTTATGGCACACCCATGCAGGAGAGAAGGAGCACACAGATGTGAAGCATTTGGCAGGACTCTGTGTTAAAAACATGGATCAGCTGCTCTGGGTAGGACAAAAGGTCTCCTTAAAATTGTGATGTCTCCAGCAGGGCCAGCAGAGGAAGTCCCTTATGCTTTTGTAAAGTGGGAATGGTGACATACAGCAAGAACCTAAGGAAGAGAATAGGAAGAATAGGAAGAGGGTTCCTCTATACCACTGCCCCAGAGGTGGCATCTTGGTGTTTAATAATCCTCACTGGATTTTTTTCTCCCCACAAATTTGCCCAGTTTCCTGAAGCTGGGTTGGATGTATTTTTAGCATCCACATTCTCTAAGAATGTGGATACTAAAATTCCCTAAGAATTTCTTCTCTAAGAAATTCCTCAGCTACAGACTTGCGTTTATTTTTTAACCCAATGTGCACTGTTTTATAATCTGATTTTCCTTTATTCACTACCCCTTCCAAACCAAGACCTCTTTATAATCCACACTCCCAATGTCTCTTGTAATGCTCTGCTGGGCTGAAGAGAGCTTCAGTCGCTGCTTTCCAGGCCAAAGGGTCTCAGTCTGTGACACAGTTTGTTCCATGGTGACCATTCCATACCTGTGCCTGTTCTATTTCAGCTTTCAGTCCTTCCCATGCCTTTCAAAAAGCTGGAGTCCCAGTTTTACACAGAGGCACAGCAGTGCTGCTGTGTTGGTCTGAGTTCCTGATCATTGACAGTTGTGCTGTTTTCCTTTCTCTCACCTGCCAAAGCCACTGTGGCACCACAAGGCCTTGCCCAGGCCTGGGTAATGATTCATAAGTGAGGGCAGAGTCTGTCACTTGTGTGTGAACTGGAATTGCTTCCTGTTTACAGACAAGGGAGTTCCCAGGCCAGTTCATTGACTCTGGGTTTTAAAGCCCTGTGGTGTTTTGGGCTCAGCCCTCTTCTTTATGTTTTTGAATAAGCTGGTGGTGTCAGCACGCCGTATCCACCCCACTCCCTAGGTAATTCATGAGTCCATGAGGGAAAACATGGCCATACAGGATACTGCCTATTGTTTTAAAGGAAGAAGCTGTCTACCTTTGCACTTTGTTTCTTAGATTTTAATGGTGTTTTATATATGAAAAGCTTCCCCTGTTACATTATGAATATTTTGTTTGTGGCCTTTGAAAGACTGACCTGAAAATTATGTGTCCAGTCTTTGCCTATGGTCATCTGTTTATTTATACCTTCAGATAAAATCTTGCACTGCCTGAAAAAGTAAACATTCTACGATGCTGTATTGGTTTTTGTTGTTATTGTGCAGCATGTTGACTTTTCTATAGCTGTTCCGTTTGATTTCTTTTTTAAACCTTATTTAAATGAAATAGAAAAACAGTACCTTAGGAACCTTAGATGCTGGAGCAGCTTCTGCATATTTAGACCTGCAGATACAGAAGTTTTGAGAGGGATTTGGCTTTCCTAACATGGCTTCAGTTTCATCCATATTCACACGTTTGTTAATCTGTGACAGTTTCCATTCTCTAACCACTTCTAGCAATCACATTTAGAGTTCTGCAATGCTCATCCTAACTGGTTTGGTTACAGCTCTGCCCATCCAGCCTCTCTGACTGCTGTTTTTGGTGTTGTTTTGTCTTTGTGTGTTTTGTTGGGGTTTTTTTAGGTCGATCTGCTTCGGGAGTGCCTGGATACAGACCTACACCCTGGGAGAGAAGGTTTTTGTTGTGGGCAGGCCATTACAAAAAGCCAGAGGATATTCCAGACACTGTCTCGTAAGTGTTGCTTTTGAAACTCTGAAAAAGACTGTCTGTGCAGAAATAAGTTACTTGCATGCAACTCCAGAGTAACTTTTCTAAAAAGGAATGCGTTTGCACAGCTGAAAAACCTTACCCTGCTGTGTTTGGTTTATCATCCTTGTAGATTAAATGACCTCAGCAATTCTCTTGTGCTAAGATAATGTATCCCTCTTGATTTTTTTTTCCTTTTTTGCAAAGGGTTGACCAGCATTTATCAGTTGTTTCATTAGAAAACCATGTGACATCATTTCATTTTTACTCTTCTCTCACAATTAGAAAGCTTTTTTCAAACATTAGGATGAGCTTTTTTCTAGTGTTTTTCATTATAGGTCAGTCTCTTGCCGTGGGAGTCTTTCTTATATGGCTATAAAGTAACTGAAACTCATTTAAGTATTTATTAATGAATACCTAAAGGGCATGGGCCAACTTCCTTTACTGTTGGAATTTAAACTAACAAACAGTGTTAAGGCTCCCTAACTATATATAGTCAAAACTGTCCTGTTGCTGCTGAATCCAAATGTCAAAAGCTTTGTCCCGTGTGAAAAGTAGAAAATAAAATGTTCTGGTTTGCACACCAAAAATAAAGATCAAACTTATCAACAGTAGACAACTGTTAGTTTAAAAAACATTCCTAGTATAGTTATCTTTTAAAACATGCTCATAATGCTTTTAAGTACATGTATTTATTTTAATTAAAAAGAAACACTTGCACTACTTGAGTAAGAAAATGATGTAGCTGCCCTCTTACATATTTTCTGTTTGTTTGGATGCACCACGTAGGAATTGAAAATCCACCCCTGTATCTAAATGTATCACAAGAATGAATTTTGTTAGAAGTGGACGCCTTCCATTTTGTATTGAATAATTTTTCTTAAAACTACATTTGAAATACATACAGGAGTAAATTATTAAAACTTACTATCACTTCATATATTTTTTGCATACCAAACACTTGTTATGAGTGTTTTTAAGAAAACAGAGTTAGCAAAGTGATTGATTTCAGTAGTTTATTGAAAGGACAAACCAACTTCTGATAAAAGCTGACCATTTCTGCAAGTGCATAGGGAATTCTTTTTATTTAGACAAATAATTCAGCCAAATCTGAGAAGACAATTGAGAACTATAAAAGCACAAAAACTTGTTTTCCTGTTCTGAGATTAATTAATTAATCTGAGATTAATTATGTGTTGTAAGGGCTTGTGCTATAACTCAGTAATCTTGTAAAATGTGGTGAAGCAATCCATTTATTAAACAAATGTTAAACTTAGCCACTGAACTGATTTAAAATGCAAGTTGTGTTTAGATATCTACCTTTTGCTCTTGTAAATTCTTAACACATCTAAGATATTTCCAAAATAACTAGCAAACCTTTTAAAATCCTACTGCTGTGCATTTCAGCTTAATTGCAGCCTGCACTCCAGGCTTTCACTGCAGATTATTAGCAGAAGCAAATAACCTGGATGCTAAAATTAACATTAGTTTCATTGTAGATGGATGTGTTTGTTCCCTATGATCAGAAATCTTGTACTCAAATCAATGCTCTGACAAAAACAAGAACAAAACTTCCCAGCTCTCAGGTCCTGTGTGATTTACCATGCTGAACTACCATGGATCCTTTTTTTTCTTCCAAATGTAAGGGTCAAAATGTAGTAACAGATTCCATGTAACTTCCCAGTTCAGTTAAATCCATTCTCCACATTAGTTTTGGGGTATAATTAACCTAGTTTGATGCATTTATTCTTTTCATTACACAGTGTTGGTGCTTCTCCAGTCTTCTGGAACTTTGTCATGTGCCAAATATAATCAGTAAGAGTACCAGCCCTCCTTGACAAGGGAGTTACCTGCCCTAAATTCTGCAAGGAGAGTTAAATATACAGGGTGTAGGTCTTTGGTTATTATGGAAAGCACTTGTAACCCTTCTTGCATTGTTCTAACACAGACTGAAAATCTGCTGTAACCAAGATGCCATTTGGGTAGAATGATCTTCAGAGTTAACTCAAGAAAATACGATCTTTTGGTTTTACTCTACACAGCTGGAAGGTGTCAATAACTGCTACTCTTCTGGTGGAAGACTTCTGATTTTTCAAAGATAACAGCAGAGTAGGCAACAGGTTTCCCAAAAGGATGGTGTAGGTACTGGTGTGGCTAGCTAAGTCCCCTAAAATTAAAAAAAAAATAAAAAATAAAGAGCTCCTCTGTCTGGAGCTGATGTAGGAAAGCTTACAATCCTCCACACCTCCTTAATTTCTCAGGGAAGCAGATCCCTTTAGGACTGTTCACTCCAGCATGAGTGGGGACCACCAGTCTTTTACCATGTCCTGCTCAGAATTTGAGTGCTGCATTCAGCAGCCTGTGTGTCACTTACTGCCCTTTCAAGTCCTGTAGCAGAGGAAGCACCTGCTGGGAAGTAAGACTGCATCATAAATGAAGAAATTGCAAAGCTGTGCCAATGCTTCCCTCTGCCCAATGAACTCTCAACTGTTAAAACACCATATTTGGGGTTTTAGCAGACTTCTGCTATTGAGAGAAAAATGCATGTTTTTCTCTGTTAAATACATCACAATTGTAATACAGACGAGTTCTCCCTGGCTTTGCAGATATTGGAAGGTAGTAGTGAGCACAGAGGGAGCTGACAGTAAGAAAAATACAGTATTGGTTAAACCATTCCTCTCTTTTCCCTGTTCTTTCCACAATGAACAAACACACTTAAATCCTGCAGCCTTCCTCCTTTGCATTGCAGTCAAGTGGTCTGCAAAGGCAGTATTTAACAACAGAAAAAGCTAAGATTAAAAAGTTGGGTTTGTTTCCAGCTTTGAGAGGAATGCCTCTGTTACCATGTATCTCCCAAGGTACTCAGAGATCAGCCTTTCCTGTTGTAAAACTCTTTGCACAAAAGAGCCAAGTGCTGTTAGCATTGCAAAAACTACCAAGACAGCACACTAGGAGAAATTAAATAATTAGCCAAGTGAATTATTTGGGTCTCTGATAACAAATGTGTTCTTTTGTTCTTTCTTGAGGCTTGAGACAGTGAGAGCAGCACAGTCCACCCTGCGTGTGAAGTTCAGCTATGTCATGATTGCCTTGACAATAGTGGGATGCATCACCATGGTGATCAGAGGGAAGCAGGTAAGCACAGAATTTGGGCTGATGAGGGCAAATACACCTTCATTTAAACATCTTAGTTCCTCTATGGATTTTTCATACTGTCTTGCTTTGGGGGTTTGGGGGTTTTTGTTTGTTTTGGGGTTCTTTGTCATTTTATCATTGAACAAAATTTTAACAAGGCCTCCTGGTTCCCCAGGAGTGACCCTCATTGACTAATTCTCATCAGAAAAGAATGATGTCACCATTAAGATGCTTCCTTTAAACAAAACCCCCTGAGCCTAAAGCCCCTGCGTGGCAGAAGAGCTTTACTTGTTATGCTGCCTCTCATCTGATGCCAATGCTCAGGTCTGGTTTCTATGGGCTGCTGTGTTCTAGAGAAACCTTGCAAGTAGTGACAGTTTTAACCCCAGCACTGTGAGCTATTGAGTGTCACCTGACATTTTGTATCAGAATTTGTCTATTACAATGAAAAGGATGCAGCACTCTGAAATGAAACAGTGGAAGGATTTTTCCTGGCTTTAACAGCAGAGATCAAACACTGATGATTCCCAGAGCATTTTCCTCTGTACTGGAGAAGTATGAATGCAAGTACCAGGAAGAGAGGACAGCTACTTTGGAATCCTTGTTTTCAAAGCAGCTGGAATTATTTATGTTTCCAGAGATGAGCTCAGTTGGCCAGAGAATGGTGCTAATAACGCCAAGATTAGAAGTTTGATCCCCCAGTGGGCCATTCAGTGAAGAGCTGGAATTGATGATCTATGTGGTCCTTTCCATCTCAAAATATTCTGAGTCTGTGATTATGTTTAACTTTTTGTTTCTCTGTCTCATGAAAATCAGATCAGCATTAAATACTGACCAGAAGCATAGAATGTATCTGCTAGTGCCTTGAAAAAAGGGCTTAATTTATACCCAGAGAAGTAATTACTTTCAGCCAAAATAATCTCTCACTATTTTATTTTAACCCTCTTGGCTTCCTGGCATTAAAGCTGACAGAATTGTGCCTTAGTAAGGACAGGTCAGGTAAGTTATTGATTCAAGTTTCAACTCTGTGGTCCTTCAGGTTGTAACTGATGATGTTATTACATTGTAGGCTGCGAAAAGACATGAAACTCTTATAAACATAAACCTGGAGAAGAAAGCCAAGTTGAGAGAAGAAGGTGCATCTGCTAAACCATAGCAGAGGAAATGAAGAGATCAAGGACTGGGGTAGAAAAGCCAAGTCCCTTTCAGCACTGATGGGAGGATACCATCACATCTGTCCTGTATGTTAGTTCTGTACACCCATGTCCAAGAAAGAATGAATATGCTGTCCCGTAGTCAATAAAATCAGAAATACCTACTTGCTTTTCCTTGTAACTGCCCCTTTTCTTCCAAACTCTTTTCTTCATGGTTAGTGGGACAGGACACATGAGCACAGTGGATAAGCAATGTCATTGTTTGCCACGTGCTGTGCACCAGAGCATCTTCTAAAGTACTGCAGGACCTGTGCCTGCATTCCAGGTACCAATCCCCTGCAGGAAGTCTCGTGTTCTTACCACTTACACAAAGGTAACTGTAACACATCAGAAGGGTCCATTTGATTTCCACTTGCACAAACAAATACCTTCACTAGCCAGCCATCCACTATCACTGACTATTTCAGGTTTCCTCAGCAAGAATGGAACTGCATTTATGCTCTTATGGTACTGGCTACTTCAAATAATTCACATGTTCCTCTTTGTGCAAGACAGAACACTTATTAAGGGAGCCCTTGAGCCAAAACTTACTGTCTGACCTGCATTAACATCAGCAAAATGATCCTAAGGTATTAAAAAGCCTAATTCCTTGGTCTAGGTCCTGTTTTTGTGCCTGCATTTGTTTAAGTGAGCGGTAACTTCCTGTGAAGAGCTGCCTATCTTCAAGAAAATGAGGAAGGAGATGAAGAGTGAAACAGCATTCCAGAGAACCACAGTGTGGCAGCTGACACCTAAGAGTGGTCCCAGCAGAGCTGGCAATGAGATGAGGAAACAGAGATGACTGTTTTGAGGAATACTGAACAACTGCTTCAACCTCTGTTGTCAGATTTACTATTTAGAGGCACATGAGTATGAGAAAGTCAATCAGGCATTCTTGCTCTCTACTAAGCTCTTTCTTTATGAATCTCATTTAGATTTATATGTATTTTGCTCTTTAAAATTGTTGTTTGTGCTTTCATCATACTAGGCCCACTTAGAGATCACCTGCCTCAAGAGTGCTATTTCTGGCATTGAGCCCAGCCACGCACTATTCATGCTGAAGAGCCCACAGCAACCAAGGGAAGTATTTTCCTTCCTCTTTTACCTTCATCTTGAAGGAAATGTGGATTGGAAGTGTCAGGACTGCTCAAAATGTTACTGCCCAGCACTGCCCTGCTGACTGGCCCTGGGGACTCCAAAACCAAAAGAGACACATCAGCTTAACAAAATTAGTTTGTGAACTTTCTCAGAGTGAGAGGGAGATTATTTTTGTTGCACCCCTAAAAATTAGCAGCATTGCTAAATAAGTAAAAGCCCTACAAAAATGCAGGGTAAATCTTCACTAGCTGCTGCAATTCCATCTATGAATTGCATTTCTGAGTACCACAGTGAGATGTAACCTATCAGAAAAGCTGTGTAGTCAATCCCATCACAGAAGTCACAACCTTCAGGTGATACAATGACCTGGCATCAGATTCTCTGGCTGGAAAGGATCATAAGGACACTGTCAGTCAAGTAGAGCAGGACTGCACAGATTTGTCCACTTAATTAGCACTCAGTGCAAGCCATATTTAATTTAACTGCAGATATGTGAACAGATTTTCCATGACAATTCTGGTTCTTTGCCACACCAGCAGGCACACAGGTGGGAACCAAACCAAAATCTTGCCCGATTACATGCCTGTGGTCATGAATGTACTAAATGATACCAAAAAGGAGAACGTGCATTTCAGGTTTCCTTGTGATGTATGCTTGGTGATGGCAAAGCTTAAAACTGTGCATCTCAAAAATATCACCCTTTCAACACACCTCTGAGTGCACTTTGTGAACAGAACCTCTCCTAGTTTTGGAAATAAAACTACTTGGACTCATCGAGCTGGTAAAATGCCAGCTCAAATAAAAATATGCAAAACACCACTTCAAAAGCAACACTTCAGAGCAGCAATAGTAACCAGTTTTTCATTTTACTTAAATTTCTATAAGCTTTATGCCATGTACACAAAAACTGAAGTCTGGTCCAGTGGTTTGACAAAAGCTCCACATATCCTTCTGTCACCCTGGTATCTCCACCATTTCAAAATCTGGCATAAAGACTCCAGATCACTGCCCAAGAAGTTTTTTTCAGCTTCTGCATAGGCTCAAGCCTCAAACCAAAGCCCAAGACAATGGGCTTTGTGTGGTCTCCAGCTTGCTCCCGAGCACTGCACTGTTTTCTTTGCAAGTAGCTGGGTACTAGAAAATGATGTAAATCTTTCTCAGCAAGGCAGTGAAAGGAACCACCTCTTTCCTGGTGTGATGGCTTCCAAGAAGCACTTCTGAATGGGGACAGTAGTTACAAACCAGCACATGTTTCTGGCCAAGGCAGCCACTCCAGCTGATGGGAGAACTTAACAGCCTCAGGTCACTGAGAGCTCACAGCTTCAGCCCAAAGCCTTTCAAGAACAGACTAAGCCTGAAATGGTACCTCACTTTCTTTCGCCCCTTGGCCTTGGTCTGTAACACCATTCCCATTTATCCAGAAGAGTCTAGTTTATCAATCCTATACCAGGTGCCTTATTGCTGTACCAGGTCCAGAGGCAACTGAAGCTTCCTAATGCAGCAATCACCTGACAACTCCAACACTGCTTCAGTGGAACATGCAGGGGGCACAGCAGGACACAGCCAGAGCAGTACACAAACAGGTTTTGCTTACTTTTCTACTAAGACTCAGGCACCTGAAGAAAGACCTTCAAGTCTAAAACGGGCATGGGAGAGTACCAATGGTGGGTTGTGCCAATTTTCAGAAGCAAAAAAAAACCATACTGGAAGAGATGGGGGTTAGTTTAAGCTGACATAGAGATCCAAGTGGACAGAGGTAAGACAGCTGTTGTGGAAGACCCCAGAGAAGCAGAGAAGTGTATTGCCAGGAGCACTGTCACACATTAGGACCATGTGGTGCAATCCAGCTCTTCAATAGTCTTGGGTGCTGACAGTAAAAAAGAAAAAGCAGGTCCAAGAACATGCAGGTCCAGTCATTGCCTTCTTCCCTTCTTCTAACATTAGGCACAGGGTCTTCAACCACCCATGTTTGGTTGGCATCAAGGAACAAAGAGGAATTTAGGAACAGGCTGAAGTCTCTAGGCAGCAGTTCCCTCAAATGATACCTTCCCAGGAGCCCCAGGTGCTGGCCCTGGCTCAGTTACTGAGCTTTCAGTAACCTGCTCCATCATCCTCTGTACCCTCCTGAATCCAAGACACCGACCCTTGCCTGCCATGTTCCACTGGGAACTTTACCAACAGAAAGAATGGCAGCTCCTGTTTGCTGCCCAAACAAAACCACAACTTTAATTGCATTACAGATCTGTGTGCTGGACTGCTAGACAGCAATTCCAGGCAGCCCTGCATCTTCCCTTCTCTAACACCCAGTTTAAAACAGACATTGTTAAAATCTCAGTACAGTGCTTCCACCTCCTTCCTGATGTTTCAAAAAAAATGCAATAAATTGTTATTACCAGCCTGTGGGGCATTTGGAAGACGCTTAGATGGGATCTCCACAAGCAGACAGAAACCAATGCATGTATTTTAATATTGAAGAAAATATGAGACACTTTTCTAGTGTTACATGCTGCCTGACAAAGCTAAGAGAAGAACACAAGAACTCCAACAACTTCCTCACCTACCCTCTACATGAGACCATGCTGCCTCTTATTTAGACACAAAACAACAACAGATCATTCAAAACACAGCGTGACCTTCACAAAAGTGGCAGCTAGAGGCATTCTCTGAGATGGTCCCTATCTGAGCACATCCTTCAGGAGAGCAGAGAATACTGGTTTCAGTTCTTCTAGCAGGGACACAGCCAACAGAACTGTGTTAGGAAGCAGTGTTCAAGCAATATGATATAATGATCCTCATACTTTCACTGGCACTTGCCTCCAAAACAGAGTCCTTCATCTGTGGCCTGACTGTTACTTACTAGATGGGTAACGTTACACTACATGTTTGGCTCTGTTAAATGCAAGTAGTTTACTTGCCCTTGGCTTACCAAGTTATTCTGGTCAGTCTGTATCAGTGAGCTTTTCCTTTTATAATTCACAAGTCTGATCTCCCTTCTGTACCCACTTAATGTGCAGCCTTTGTTAGAAGTAGATTTTGTTTCTTTTCAACCTATTAATAAGGCTAAGTAAAGCAATGCCAAGAACTGGTTGCTGGAAGATCCTGATGGAAATACACTCAATTAAACACCATTTAAATTACATTGAGACCTATGAGTTAGCCGCATTTTAATCCATTTAATGTGTGCCATGTTGATTCTTCTATTGGTGTGGTTTTCACTCAAAATATTATGCAGTACCAGTCAAATGCCTTACACAGTCTAAGTATTTAGGACAACAATATTACCTGCGTCAACCAGGCCTGTCACTTCAAACAAACATACCAAGTTTAAAGATTATACTTATCTGCTCTGAATTCACATATCCATGGCAAAAGTAACAAATACTGGCCAGGCTCCTTACACAGGAAGGCACACCAGTCAGCTTAAATGGACTCTTTTTTAATTCACTCATTTAGAGGCAATTGTCATTACTTTCTTGGGGGGCAGGGGAGGGAAACGCCAATGCACCACATTGTTTTCACTAGCCTGGAAGAGAAAACACTAATATATATAGATATATAGGTATGTATATATATACACATACTTTATGCGTGTGTGTATATATATGTGTGTGTGTATATATGTATATATACACGCTAGTGTATATATACACAGAATATACATATATGAATATACAGAATATATGCACACACACTTTGCTCAGATTTGTTTACAAAATATGTAGCATTTTTATACCATCCAATAAGAGGTACATGGTTTTAAACAAATCTTATAGAAATGACATGTTATTGGAAATTTACACGTAAAAAAATCCAGCACAAAAAAATCCAAAAGCTAAAACAAGATTTTGCTACTAATCAGTGCTTCTATCACCCTTCAAGAAAAGAGAAACACAGTTATTTATATGTGATGTAAAGGCAACACTGAGGGTTTTTTTTTGCTTTTTTAAATTAACCACCAAATTTAACCCCCTAAAATTACAAAGAATTGAAGTCCATTTACAGATCAAGTGCAGTAAACTAAATGTTCCTTCA